TCTTCCAGTTCTGGATCGAGGACGAAGGAATGCTGTTTGAAGAAGGGTGAGATTTCGAGTTCGGCCTGATACTCGTCGTCGGTAAGGTGATACAATGCTAAATCGTCAATATGGAGGATCGAGTCCTTAGGGACATTGATCCATAAAGTTTGATTGGGCAGGATAATGCGGTGTCGTGTTGATCGTAGGTGAGGGTAGCCGTACGCGCTGGGGTGTTGACTAGGCATCGGTTTCCAACAATCTCGGCTTGTGTTGCCTCAATGTGGGCCCGTGGTGTAGCTTCGGCAGGGCAGCTAGTGTCGGGTCTAATGGATTCTAGGCCGCAGATGCCCTCGGTATTATCACGGATGAAGGGTTTACTCGGGCAGAGGTAATGAATGCCTCTAGTGAGTATACACATTTTCAGGTTTGGGGCTAGGTACAATTGCTCGTTGGTATCGTGATATGCAACGACTTCAGGAGTGTGTATTTTGACATAGGTGTTACTCTGCCAAAATCCCACATTCACAACGTCTTTGAGCCGGTAAATGTTATTGGAGTCAATAATAGGTAAACTGAGGAGAAAGGCAAAGTCGCCTACTTCTGGGTCTACGTATAAGGGGATGGCGCTGCCCAGGGAAAAGGCGAGATGGGTTTGGAGGGGACTAGCAGGGCCCATAGTGGCCGAAGTTAGGATGTTTTGGACAAGGCTAAGAGGTATCAAGTAGTGGGGGATCCTACCCATGGCTAAGTTATCGATCGAGGAGCTTACTTCCCGTAACATGTCGGTCATGAGGGTGGTTAGGAGTTGTGTTTGGGCCAAATCGCTTTGCACGACCGAAAATAGTTTGTTGATGGATTTTATGGTCTGATTTATAAGGGTGCTATGGGTATTTAGAATTGTGATGGTGCCGTTCAGCGACTTCCCGAAGGTCTGTAGGGCGTTGCTCTGGACTAAGAGCTGTTGTCGTATCCCAGGCATTTCAGCCTGGATTTCGTCCACATGCCGTCTCACGGTGGCCAGATTAACAGCATTAGCGGTATTCATACCGATGTTAAACAGAGTTCCTACAGCCGCAGCAGCCCCCAGCAGGGCGCCCAAAAATCGTTTGGGACACCGGTTATACCCGCTTAATTCAGCCTGGGTTACAGTCATTTTCTGTAATTGGTGCAGCATGTGGTTCACATCTGCCTGGGCGTGGGCGAGGATTTCTCGAGTCCACCGGGCTCCAGCCCAAATGGTTTGAGCGGCTGAGGGGGTGTAGTGAGGTCTGACAACATCAC